TACTAACATAGAAGCAGTGTTGTGGGTTTTTCAGATTTGAACTGGCAAAATTTCCTATCCATATTAGGGTAATTTGCCTGGGAGGACCCTATGGGCTGATCAAATTTAGCATATTTATTTTACTTGTATTTAGTAAACAAAACTTTAAAAAATGAAACTGCCTAGCTTGTCTTATATTGTATTTGCAGTTGGAATCCATTCATTGTTACTAAGTAACTTATGAAATGGAAATATTTTCCACAGGAAAAATAGAAACTTGCCCAGAATTTTTTTTGCTCCTACATCAGAGTTCAGAAGTCCACCCCACTGAGCTTAGTGGGGCTTACTCTCAAATAAGTGGCCATGGCATTGAAGCCCTTGTACTGTTTTGGGGTCAGGAGAAATTTATACTAGTCTTTTATTTAATCATAATGATTTAAAATTATTATGCTGATTCTGGCATGGAACCTGATAGTACTGAGGCTCTGAGGCTATATAATGAAAAGGCACAAACATGAAAAAGCAGTATTCAGAATTTGAGAACATATCTGGACTTACAAGCATGCAACAGGGGTGGTTTATGTTTTGTTTTATCCTAGAATAGCACAGCTTTACCTTCCACTTTATAGCTTAATGAGTTTCCCCGGTGAACCATAGTGTCTGTCTCGATTATATCAGAATGTAGTATGGTCTGGGTTGTCTCTATACTATAAACTCTATAAAGTTTTGTTTACTGGCATGATGCAATCTTGAGTAAGAAACTCCCAGACTGCTTCCTTGACTATGGAGGGGGCGAGTGAATTATGGCTGTCAGCCTCCTCTGGAGGAGGGATGGGAGAGTCAGCTGTATGCCATCTACCCTCCTCCCACCCTCTAAACTGTATTTAAGCCAGGCTCCTTTGAGTGCAGCAAGACCAGTACCAGAAATTTCATTGTCGGTTAACTCTGGTTTTGCTTATTATTTATGTATTTAAGCTAGATTGTGTGTTTTTTTTAAGTCTGTACTTCAAGGTTTTGAATCTCGTGAACTGCTTTGGGCACAGCATATTGTGCAAAAGCAGCATATAAGTAAACTCAATCAATCACTTCAGGGAGGGGGCGGTCAGTGGTGTTAAGATTCCTGAGCTGTGAAGCTTTAGTCTTCTGTGTTTGATTGTACACATTGAAATTTGAGAATAACTGCAGGCTTGTAGGCAATTGATGTTTTGCAGTTGTGATTCCTACTTCAGTGATAAGATTCCCACTTAGTACTTGACTAATCTGTTTTGAGCTGCTTGAATTGTTCTTCAGAACAACTGATTCCCAAATGCAAGGTAGTATTGAGGTATATGGAGAATTATTGTCATTGCTTCATAGAAAGCTGGTATAGCATAGCAGCTACGAGTCTGAGCTACGGAGCAGGAAGACTCTACCTTGAGTATGTCATGAATTCACCAGGGCACATTAGGAAAGACTACAGTATGGATATAATACTGACACCCTTGCTGTGTTGCTAGAAGTATGCTAAAGGATAATGCACGTGAAGCAGATTGTAACGCTAAACAGTTCTATACAAATGCCAAGTACCTGAATGTGATATGCTATGTTCTTTTTAATGAAGGATCAATGCAGTATCCAATGGACAAGTGCGTGGGGACAGTTACAGTGAAGGTTGCCTTGGGCAAACAGGTAATCTTAAATAAAAATTATAGCAAGTGTGTGGGTGTATGAGAGAGAGATAGCGCTGCTAGGGGTGGGCCATATCAGGTTTTCAGCATCACAATATATCACCAGCTAAATATCACAATATCTCGATATATCAAGCTATATATCTGCAGCAGTGGAGGGCCTTGACGAGGATCCCTGTGGCGGGCCTTAAAATGTAAGGAAGTAGTAGATTTAATAAAAAATATTAAATAAGTATATATTTAAGATATTTACAACTAACTTCAACTAAGTGATCTGTTTTGCTGTAAAGCACATCCCAAAATAGATGTGCATTGCAATTGCCATGAGTGCAATTTCCCAGCAAATGCATGGCTGTATTAAGCAGGGGGTTTGAACCCAGATCTCCCTTGCCCCCACTCCACTGCACCAGGCTCTCAGAAGGGCTACTTTAGGGGACAGCAATGAAAAATGGTGTACCAAGTTTGTACATTTTGAAATGTTGCACTTACTCAGCCATGACACATGGAGAGCATGCAGATGTTTCCTAATGCACACAGGCTTTAGGTAGTTCTGAAGGGACTGTTAATTTGTCCTCTTCAGGTCACATATTGCCCATTATTTAAATATTGTTATGAACAATGGAGCAGCTTGTTTTTAAAAGCAATTGGTGTGGGTTTGTTTTTTCTTTTGCAGGTGCTCGCATCTGGCTGTTCATTGGATTTATGTTGGCATTTGGATCTCTGATTGCATCTATGTGGGTCCTCTTTGGAGGCTATGTTATTCAAGGTAGAGTATCTGTTAAAGGCAACCTTTAAAATTAGCACTTTAGCTTGTGCTTATGTATACATTTTAAATTGCAATCAGGTTAAGTGCAGAGACCTTGTCTCTTGCATTATGAACACTACCTATACCCTATAACAGGCTTCCTCAAACTCAGCCCTCGAGTTGTTTGTGGCCTACAACTCCCATGATCCCTAGCAAGCAGGACCAGTGGTCAGGGATGGTGGAATTGTCATCATAAAACATCTGGAGGGCCGAGTTTGAGGAAGCCTGCCCTATAATAATGAAAGTGTCTCTTATGTCACTATCCTACCTAAAAAAGGGGGGGGAGGCGGCTTCTGTGTCATTTCTTTTGGAGGCTGAACTGTTGCTGCCTGTGGCACTGTCTTCCTTTTTCTGAAAGGATTTGTTAATTGTGGGCTACACTTGGAAGGCCTGTGAGTTGCAACCTGGCATAATGATTGATGCATGATTCAGTCTGATTAGGTTGGGAGATTGCTGAGAATCCTGTGTATGGCACCTTCTTCTCTATTGGAGAAAGGCTGGTATAAATGCAGTGAGGGATGGATGGGGAGCCTTTGTCCTTCCAGATGTTGTTTGACTACAACTTCCATCAACTTCAATTAGCGTAGCCAGCAGTCAAGAAATTAAGCAAGTGGCAGTCCCAACAACATCTGGAGGTTTGTGGGTTTCCCCCCTTGTAAATATAAGCTAATGAGGCTGCAATCCTGAACACACTTACCAGAGTACACATATTTGGATCTCAAGATCATCATCTGAGGCCCTTCCTCCAGGTGCCTACCCAAAACAAGTTTGCTCCCAGGGAGAGAACAGTTTCAGTGGTGGCACCCAAGCTATAAAATGCCCTTCACCTTGTCACTAAACTAGTATTCTTGGTGCCTGGTGAATACCTTTATTTTCTCAGCCTTTTAAAATATTAAAATATTTTTTGTGATTATAGACACTTTGGGAGTGTTAAGATTTGTGAAAATTTTCTGTGCTGTGAGTTTACTACTATATTGAGTTGCATCCTGTAGCTGGTTTGATGCTGTATTATAAATTTTATGGTTTAGGACATGGGGACATAGGAAGCTGCCTTATACTGAGACAAACCCATGGATCCAACTAGCTCAATAATATCTACACTGACTGGTCCAGGGTTTCGGAGTCTCTCCCAGCCCTTCCTGGAGATGTTGAACCTAGGACCTTCTGCATGCAGAGGCTCTACTACTGAGCTATGACTCTTGATGATCTTATTTGTGTATTTAGTTATTTTAAGTAAGAGAATTTTGAGAACCATTGTGACAGAAAAGCTGTATAAAAGTGTCGTAAGTAAGCAAGTATATTCATTTTCCAGATTCTGGTAGCATAAGAAGGCATTAGGCAAGCCCTGCAAAACTTAACAAATCAATGAGCTGGTCATTGTGCTTTTTTGAGGGGTTGGGGGAGGCTACAAATAAGCTCATGGACTTCAGATAAAGGACATTCTTTTTTCCCCCTTCCCAGACAAAGAAAAGATCTCTGTATACCCTGGGATAGCAGTCTTCTTCCAAAATGCTTTTATATTCTTTGGGTAAGCATTTCTTCAATTGATTTGTTATTCTGTGTTTAAATGTCACATGCATGGAAGTTTAGTAGCTTGGAGCACTGTCATTCATACCAAAACTACATGTTCAAGTCACGGAATAATAATAAGTAAATTTCAAATGGGTGAGCAGGACTGGCACAAGCACTGTTGCACCAAAACATCACAGAGCTAGCACAGAGACACATGGAATATCTTTTCCCCCCCCCCAAAGTAGCCTTACGACTTGAATCCTAGTCACACTTCCCTGAGAGTAAGTCTGGTTGATCTTTGTGGGGCTTTGTTGTATGAAAAATACTTAGGGCTGTGCTGTAGAAGACTATTTAAAATACTTTTATCTTGGCTTTCCATAAAATATTTTCAAGATACTGCTTTGCCCTGTTTGATGTGACAATTCCAACATTCTATGCAGTTAATCCTGTCTCTTTTGTTAACAGAGGCCTGGTCTTTAAGTTTGGTCGCACTGAAGATTTGTGGCAATAAGCAACAGAATATGTCCTTCTATTTTTAATTGCCCCACTCCCTTTTGTAAGCATTTGTGCTCTGGTATCAGTGAGGATGAAAACTGACAGCGCTCGCAAAATCATGAAATTCATTTGTTTTTCATTCTCTTTGAGACTGTTTTCTACTCTTGGCTTATGACATTAAATATGTAGCATGTGAACTAAAATGTAAAACTGAGAAAGAGATAACACTTATGAAGTCCTCTTCCTGACTGTTTTTATAAATGAATATTAAACAATGTAAATGTTTCTTTTACAGATCATTTATATATGTGTGTGTGTGTCTTCACAGTATAACTTATTTTTGAAAATGGGATTATGACTGGCTTTGGAAGGTTTTCAAATGAAAGATGTTAATTCGGTGCATTAAAATGTAATACAAATGTACTAACATCATATTTGTTCTCTAGATTCATTAAGGGTGGCTTTCCAGCTGTGTTTGGGGTTCCTTTGTTGTGCATACAGTTGATCTGTACTGAAGCTGAAGTAATTTAGTGAGTCTTGGGTGGGGGAAGGCAAAACAACACATTTATTGAATGCAGTTCAGAAATCAAAGTTAGAGAGGTCACACTCATTCACACAAGTGCCACTGGGATATTTATCGGGAATGGGTGCTCTCTCTGATGGTCAGCCTAGAAAGCAGAATGATGGGCAGGTGGAGCTAAGCAAGATGGAAGCTTCCACTGATCCTAGGGGTGCAGAGGTCTTGCCTACAAATGGGTCCCTCTAGCTGGAGTTCTTATACATTTTCTGCCTGGATCTGAGCTTTTGTACCTTGCAAGGTTATCCAGTGCATGACAGGCTGATTTGCATCATAGCAACCAATTATTAGGCTGCTTTTTTCTGGGGGAGACTTAAGTACCAGGTGTGGGGAACTTTGGGCCTTCCAGATGTTGCTGAACTACAGCTCCCACCATTCCTAGCCCTTGGCCATGCTTGCTAAGACTGATGGGAGCTGTAGTTTATTAACATCTGGCAGGCCAAAGGTTTCCCACACCTGAACTATTAACTGAAATGTTACCATGCTTCTGAAGCTTCTGCTGGGCCTGTGACTTCCAAGTATGATGGCTCTTGTCTTGTTACTGGTGGCTTTATGGTGGTGCTGTAGAGGCAGTGTTCTAACATTCAGTTTGTGATAGTAAGCAGCAGTTCATTTCCCATGCTGACTTCATTGCTTTAGTATTTTTCAGCTGGAGTCACAATCCACTTAGGCCATTTATGCACAGGGTTAATTGGGACATTAAAGGCAGTGGTAGCAGTAAGAAAGATGGTAGGCATACGGGGATATAAAATTACACAACTGTGGAGGCATAGCATATTATAAAAATACTTAGCTCCATATATCACACTGTACACTTGGACAACTTTTCCACATTACCAATCACTCCCTTGCAAGGTGCTACAGCTGAAAGTGCACCGCCTAGAAAATGCCCCCAGAATCCTCTGCAAGGTGGCAAGAATTTTACAACAGACAACTCAGTGTGGAAAGTTGTTAAAACCACTGCATTTAAGGTGCTGGCAGGGGGAGGTCAAGTGAGGTAAAATCCACATTTAATATGCACGTCCCCCCCTGCCAAAGCAAAATCCTCAGCATTTTGCAGGTTCAGCTGTAAATAGTATGCCTTAGAGAAAAGAAGGCGGTTGGCAGCCTCCTTAATGAAGCAGTAATGTAGTTCATTCAGTCTTGCAAACAAATGGTTCCTACGAAAAGGTTACACAACTTCTGGTGGCTTTAATGGCAGATCGACAAAATCTTCCACAACTAGTTTACTGCAGTCTTGATGCCTGTATTCAATATCCAGCAGCTAAATGTGGAAACTAAAAACAAAGAAACATTATTGAATTTTTCTATGAGGAAAGGTTATAACATCTGAGGCTTTTAAGTTTAGAGAAAAGGTGGGTAAGAGGGGGCACGGTAGAGGTTTATAAAATTAAAAACGGCATGGAAAGTGGATAGAGAACAGTTAGCACAGTGACTAGTAGCTAGTGTGAAATTTAAAAACTTACCTCCCAAAAAGCTTGATCATCAAAATACTTTGTTATAGGAGGTGCTTTCCAGAATTCAAAAGTTAGTAAGAAACCTAAGACATTGGGAAAAGAATGCAAAACATGTACTGAAAAGTGACAAACCTTTCCCAAAATACCTTTCACTGTACCCTCTAAGGCCCCATATGCACTATACACTGAAAGCAGTATCATACAACTTTAAATAGTAATGGCTTCCCCCAAAGAATCCTGGGAACTGTAGTTTGGTAAGGGTGTTGAGAGTTGCTAGGAGACGCCTGTTCACCTCAGAGTTGCAACTCTCAGAGCAGTTTAACAGTCAATCCCTCCTCCCATGGAACTCTCGGAATTGTAGCTCTGTGAAGGGAATAAGGGTCTCCTAATTGTACTCAGCATCCTTAAGAACCTAGAGTTATGAGGATTATTTGGAGAAAGCCATTCTTGTTTAAAGTGGTATGATACCACTAAACACATAGCTCGGGCCTAAGTTCACCATTGAAGCACATCCTCCAACTGTAGCTATTTGACGGTTGGAACACTAGTTTTTCGCTTGATAGACCTGTGTGAACATATATGGAGGAATTACAACTTTAAAATTATAGGCTTGCATCCCCTAGGCCTATTAAATAAATGAGGCAGGTAAGTGATGTCTCTCTTAAGCCTAAAGTGTGGCATAGGCTGTGTACACACCAGACCATTAACATGCACATAGGTCACACAGATCCAAATTTACCATGTGGCACTTTAGCGCATATTCATCCACACATGAGTGCTTTCAGTTAAATTATTTTCCCATCTACACTAGTGGGTGGTGCTTGATGGGGTATATTATCACTCAATTTGATCCAGGGCAAATTCTCCTGCTTCTTTGTTAGTTTCTACATCTACTGACATTATCAAGCATTCTTGAAGTATTCCATTGAGCAATCAGACACCAGTAGCATTCAAGGAAGGGAGAGGCTTTAGCTCCATAGAAAATCACAAAGAGTGTTTGCGTTAACAGACCTGTAATGAGTCCAGCCATCAGACCCAGGGAAATGATCGCGCAGGATGCACCAAGTTCAGTCAAAGCCAAATAACCCATTCTGAAAATCACAACAACAAAAACCATTCACAAACCAGTAAATGCTTTACCACTTATTCAGTGCTACAGTCTTGGTGTTTTTCCATAGGCCTTACACTCTGTTATTGATGGGGGAGAATTCCGTGTGATCCACAATTCATATAATATGAAGTGATTTAATTTGCATTTCCCAAAACATTTGCATGAATCAAAACATAACCATTCTTTGACATTTGCACGTCTCTGAATTTTGCTATGCTGCTATCCCAGCAAGCATGTGCTAAAAAAACTATATAAGGAGTGAGTGTGCCTAAAAACGTATATACAAAAATGCAACACATTAGAGAAAATGGTTTGCAAACATGTTACGTTAGGCAAAATTGCATACAAAAATATGTAAGGGGCAATGTGCAATATGATGCTGGCAGTTTTTTGTGAAGTCTATCACAAACTGCAGCAGAAATGCAGCCACCTGGACCAAAGAGAAAATTAAAGGAACAAAATTGAGAAGATCAATCCTTCCTTACTATCTCTGCTGTTTTTAAACTTTCTCTATTTAGAGAGCCCTTTTCACACCAGCTGATCTACAAAGACCTCCTTCACAATTGCCATTGAACCACAGGACACTGCAGAGAAACTGGAGGGCACACACTTCAAGTGTGTTACTACTGACCAAGAGCTTTCCACTGACTTGTTTGAATTGAATTTTTGCTAGATAATGTCCAGTACTACAGTGGATAGTATTTCCTCCCCCCCCCTTGCCTTTAAAACTTTTTAAAATAAAACCCTCAAGGTGGTGCAAGCTTTCTGTCTACACACTTCCTGGTGGGGCCCAATAACTATCTCTTGAAAAGTTCAGAGGAGATAACATTTGAGAGAGAGGTTCCACCTACCCTTCTAGGTCTTCCTGGCTGTCTATTAGGATAAGAATAATGCGAGTGATCCCTCCAATCAAACTGGGCAGGCCAAACGTGTAAAGAACTCCACAGGTATCATGAATCCTGAGCGCTGGTTCCAGGCGCTTCTGAGTTTGATGGGAAGGGTACATGTGAAAAACACAAATGCTGTGTAAACACCATAAATTCAAAGCACATTTCAATCATGCAACTCCCCCAAAGGGAACTGTAATTTAATTTCATGCAGCTGCAATTCCCAGCACCTTCAATAAACTTCAGTTCCCAAGAATCTTGGGCAGGGAGTAGTTTAAATGTATGGGATGTGTGCAGCCAAAGGGTCATGTGAATAACCTTTAACGCTGCAAATCATAAGGTAGCTGTTGAAGGGCTTGTGGGCTGGCTATAAGCAGGACTGTCTTGTCCATGGAGGCACAGGTTAATTCTGTGTCCAGGGCAGCTGTCTACCAGCTCCACCTGGTACGCAGGCTAAGACCCTACCTGCCCGCGGACTGTCTTGCCAGAGTGGTGCATGCTCTAGTTATCTCCCGCTTGGACTACTGCAACGTGCTCTACGTGGGGCTACCTTTGAAGGTGACCCGGAAACGGCAATTAATCCAGAATGCGGCAGCTAGACTGGTGACTGGGAGTGGCCGCCGGGACCACATAACACCGGTTCTGAGAGATCTCCATTGGCTCCCAGTACGTTTCCGAGCACAATTCCAAGTGTTGGTGCTGACCTTTAAAGCCCTAAACGGCCTCGGTCCAGTATACCTGAAGGAGTGTCTCCACCCCCATCGTTCAGCCCGGACACTGAGATCCAGCGCCGAGGGCCTTCTGGCGGTTCCCTCATTGCGAGAAGTAAGGTTACAGGGAACCAGGCAGAGGGCCTTCTCGGTAGTGGCGCCTGCCCTGTGGAATGCCCTCCCAGCAGATGTCAAAGCAATAAACAACTATCTTACTTTTAAAAGTCATCTGAAGGCAGCCCTCTTTAGGGAAGTTTTTAATGTTTGATGCTGTACTGTTTTTAATATTCAGTTGGAAGCCGCCCAGAGTGGCTGGGGAAACCCAGCCAGATGGGCGGGGTATAAATAATAAATTATTATTATTACTATTATTATTGTCTGCCACAATGTCATGGAAGCACAGAGAGGGGGACACTGCTTAGCAGTAGATCAGGAAGGTTCAGTTACTGGCATTAAGAAGTTTAGAGCAACAAGACTGGAAAAGACTAGCATATGTTGAAAAAGACCCGAGAGAGCCTGTGTGGCATAGTGGTTTGCAGCCAGATCAGGACCAAGAAGTAAGGTAAAGGTAAAGGTACCCCTGCCCGTACGGGCCAGTCGTGTCCGACTCTAGGGTTGTGCGCTCATCTCACTTAAGAGGCCGGGAGCCAGCGCTGTCTGCAGACACTTCTGGGTCACGTGGCCAGCACCAGCGCAGCACACGGAAACACCGTTTACCTTCCTGCTATAAAGCGGTACCTATTTATCTACTTGCACTTAGGGGTGCTTTCGAACTGCTAGGTGGGCAGGAGCTGGGACCGAAAGACGGGAGCTCACCCTGCCGCGGGGATTCGAACCACCGACCATACAATCGGCAAGTCCTAGGCACTGAGGTTTTACCCACAGCGCCACCCGCGTCCAAGGAAGACCAAGGTTCAAATCCTCAGTCAGCTATGAAGCTCACTGGGCCAGCCACAGTATCTCAGCCTATCCTACCTCACAGCATTGATGTGAGTATAAAATGGAGAGGGAGGAATACCATTTATGCCACTTCGACCTCCTCAGAGAAAAGGTGGGGTATAAATGTAATAATAAATAAATGGATAGGGTTTCATTAACCAAAAGAGTCAAGGATTCCCCAGCTGCTCTGTAAGATGACATGTGCAGGTCTCCTTCTTGGGGCTGGCCCTACCATTAGGCAATGTGAGGAAGCTGCCTCCAACAGATGCTTCAGAGACAAGAACTTTAAGCACCATCCCACTAAACCTGCCTGCTGCTCTCAGATGAAGATGAGACTCGGTCTTATCACCACTGTTGAAATTAGAGTCAACTGCCAACCTGACTGGCTTTTGCACAAGGAATGGGGGAGGCGCCATTTTGCCCTTTGCCCCAGGCAGCAAAATGCCCGCTCCTCCTTGCCCACAATCCAAAATGGGATGGTTCAAAATGGGAACTGTTACCTGTAAAAAGGCAAAGCCAAGCACAGAGCCTGCCCCGGCCACCAGACCTAAAGTCATCGCAATCCAAGGGTATCGGATGATGGAAACTGAGGAGCCAACAGCAACCCCACCAGCCAGAGTGGCATTCTGGATGTGGGCCTGTAGAACAAGCAAAAGAAGAAAGTGAGGAATGAAAAAAGCCGGCTGGAAACGTTTTACTAGTGAAAGACGCTGGTGTGGGTGGGTGGGTAGATGTTTGTGTGGGTGCGCGTGTGCATGTCTTAAACCAGGATTTCCAGCAGCCAGGCACCAGTTAGGCCGCAGAACCAGCCTGTCCACCACATACCAGCAAATTCAAGCCGCACACTTATAGCTGACCATTAGGTCTTGTGCAACAAGCCAGTTTCCCCAGAAGGTCAGACTTTCTGCGATAAGGAAATTGATGGGGACCTGCACTGGAAGTGTGAGACGGGCACTTGCTTTGATGCATGCATTCTCATTTCCACACAAACAAATGAGAGGGAATGCTCATTAAATAACCAATGCAAGCAAATACGCAAGCAAATTAGGATGATTTCTCAATAAATAGGTTGCTTGGAAGTGTGAGCATCTCTCTTCCGGCTGTCTCTCTAGTTAGGAGAAAGTCCCTCTAGATTGAAAGTTAGAGAATAGGAACTTCTGACTTACCATGTGGAACGTCCCATCACTACTGGTAGCCTTTGAGAACGCAAATGCGGCCACAGCACTTGTAGCCATTGCAAAATAGGTGTTGTAAATGGCAGCCTGTTTTTCCTCTTCTTTCTGTACCAACACAGAATTGAAGCTGGGCCAGAATGTCCAAAGGAAGAGAGTACCTAGTGAACACCCACACACAAAAAGCACAATTAGTGCCCTCTTGAACCCATTAGATAATTGCTTTTGTTGGAGGTGACAGGGTGCAACTCAGCTTGCACTGTATCTCCCTGCTCTCCCCTCCCCGGACTCTCCGCCTGGCACCCCCCACTGCTTGGTGCCCTGGCACGCTGCGCCACTACACCCAATGGTAAAGATGTCCCTGCTGCCCAATTCCTTCACTCCTGAATCATTGCTCTTGAACTCTGGGCCTGCTGTTGAGCCTGTACCATTATGTGCCTGACTAAAGATCTCTTCCATACCTACACATTAGTGCATCTGTTTGCATGTATTGGCTGCGAGCCAGGACAGCTTCAACCAGATTAACCTGTGCTGCCAATGTCCCCCCAGCCTCAGGATATAGCATTGCCATCCTCGACTCAGAGGCCTCCATCGCAAAGGCCCTTGTGAGACCAGAGTCTTCCCTGCTCTGCTGGAGCAAAAGACTGATTGAGCTGCCTAGGGCCCTTTAACTGGTAAATCGCTTTACAGCGAGGGCAGGGCTGCAATATAGATGCACCTGCTGTGGTTATTTTGAGCTCAGTCTTCATTTGATGGCTGCTGAAGCAACATCAGAGTGCCGCTCTCCTACAGAGCAGCTTGAGCTTTACATCCAGCCATAGCCCTGTCTTGCACCAATGGATGGGTGAATCCTGACAAGACAGAAGTACTGTTTTGGGGGACAGGAGGCGGGCAGGTGTGGAGGATTCCCTGGTCCTGAATGGGGTAACTGTGCCCCTGAAGGACCAGGTGCGCAGCCTGGGAGTCATTTTGGTCTCACAGCTGTCCAAGGAGGCGCAGGTTAACTCTGTGTCCAGGGCAGCTGTCTACCAGCTCCACCTGGTACGCAGGCTAAGACCCTACCTCCCCGCGGACTGTCTCACCAGAGTGGTGCATGCTCTAGTTATCTCACGCTTGGACTACTGCAACGCGCTCTACGTGGGGCTACCTTTGAAGGTGACCCGGAAACTGCAATTAATCCAGAATGCGGCAGCTAGACTGGTGACTGGGAGTGGCCGCCGGGACCACATAACACCGGTTCTGAGAGATCTGCATTGGCTCCCAGTACGTTTCCGAGCACGATTCAAAGTGTTGGTGCTGACCTTTAAAGCCCTAAATGGCCTCGGTCCTGTATACCTGAAGGAGCGTCTCCACCCCCATCGTTCAGCCCGGACACTGAGGTCCAGCGCCGAGGGCCTTCTGGCGGTTCCCTCATTGCGAGAAGTGAGGCTACAGGGAACCAGGCAGAGGGCCTTCTCGGTAGTGGCGCCCGCCCTGTGGAACGCCCTCCCATCAGATGTCAAAGAGATAAATAATTACCTGACATTCAGAAGACATCTTAAGGCAGCCCTGTTCAGGGAAGTTTTTAATATGTAATGCTGTACTGTTTTTAACACTGATTGGGAGCCGCCCAGAGTGGCTGGGGAAACTCAGCCAGATGGGCGGGGTATAAATAATAAATAAAATAATCATCATCATCATCATCATCATCATCTGTCCACTGCAGTTTCTCTTGGTTTCTTGTTTTTCTGAACTTAAATTCAGTTCTCCACATGTATGCGGAAATTTGAATGTAAAAAAGAACAGCAGCAGAATTCCTGCAGGCTCTTTCTCAGAAACAATGCACAATCTGAAGAAAGACTTCCTGCATTTATTATGTTTTACATTTATATTCCACGTTGTTTTCCTTCATGAAGCCCAAGGCAGCGTAAGCAAAGTTCCCAGGAAGTCACCCATCCAAGCACCGACCATGCCTAGACCAACTTAGCTTCAACAAGGTAGTGGTCTCATGTGACCATCCCCAGAGACACTACATTGCCTTTGGTCCAGCAGTCCTTCCCAACACCCCAGGAGTGGAGCAAGCAATTTGCAACAATTTGTTTACCACTACTGCTTTGGGCACTACCTATACTTAAACAAACAACAGAAAAACCTAAACAGCATTCAAGATTCAGCCTATCAATCATCCTGCACATGGCAAAACAAATACTGAGCCAAGAAGATATGTAACTGGATCTCCCACTGAGGTATTATGTTTGCAAGGAAACAACAGGTGCGTGTTGCTTGTAATTTATTGCAGCCACGGGAGGCAGGCAGGGATCTGTCTGCAATAACCGCAGTGAAGAGTTGACCACCGTCGAAATTCCATGCCTATCAGCAAGTTCAAGACAAGTGTCAGGCTCAGAAGCTTCAGCTTAAAGTACTAGCAACAGAATCTCCTGTGTTCTTCCTCTGTCAAGCTGCTCCTCTAACCCAGGGATGGAGAACCTTTTCCAAACTCATGGCAGCATTCCCACCTGGGCAGAAGTGGGTGGAGTCGCCACAATAGCTTTCCAGCAGTAGTGTCACTGCTGTTTACCAGGAGAGGGACAGGAGACATAGAGATGTTTAAAAAATGAAACAGGAGTGGAAATGTTCGCCTATTCATCCCATGTCTGGAACGGAAATCAATCAAGTAAACACGATTGATATCTACTGTTTTTGCTCTCAGCCCATCAACAATATGTGACTAATTAATTTACATGGTGCTTCCCTTGCGTTGAAATGAATAGGGTGGAATAACATAACCTACGTAATTAATTACATAAGTTTTGCGATTTCACCACAGTAGAACATGACACAAATCACATAATTTTGGGCAGAAGGTAAACTGCAGCAGAACAGAAACAGAGCTGCTGTGTTAGAAACTGAGATATGAAAGCTAGGAGCTAAATGACACCTTAATCCTAGGTTATGGGTGCAACAATGGAATGTCTAGGTGCACTTTTTTATAACAAGAATACAAAGCTGAAAATGAATGAACTGCAGCTAAAAATATTATGTTCTTTTTCACATGGTCTAGTCTTTCCTCTTCCCACCTCCCTAATATTTTTAAGAGGGCCTCTTCTCCAGTCTTCAGAGAGTATTTAGAAGTGGGGAGGCAGAAAAAGGTCCTCCTTTCCTTCTACTCTGCAGTTTTAATCTGAAATCTTAGGCGCAGTACTATGCCCTGAGCTCAGAAACTGCTCACGCTAATGAAATTCCCTGTCGCAAAATGTGCCTAGAACAATGAGAGTTTTGAACACTACAAAGCTGTGTGTGATGGATACAGGGTGTAATGGGAGACGATGCCTTCTTGCATCCCCATGGAGGGGTTAAGGCTGTGCCACACAGTGGCGGAAACACCAAGATTGCCTCCACTGGTGGGCCATGCAGCCCTGACTTTAACCCTCTCAGCTTGAGGCTGCAATGCTGTTGCTGGAAGGCTATTGCTGCAGCTCCACCCCTCTGAGCAAGCACAAAATAACTGCCATGGGTAGCAAAAGAAGAGATGCTGGTCCTTTGCACAAGCGAGTACTGTGCTCGTGGCACTTTTGTCAATATGCAAATACTGACACCTCATTTTTACAAAAAAAAAAAAAAAAGCCATCATCATCATCATTATTGCCATATGCATTAATTTTCCAGGATAGCGTAAAACAGCCTAACACAAGTGATGACTGCATATTTCAGCAACATGGCCCTCAATGATTCTGCTCCAATTGTTTTTTGGAGAGGGAAATTTTCACCTAATCACAAGTTACACACACGACTTTTGGCAACCTGGGATGGGCGGTTCCCTATACCAAACACTGTTCTGCTATAAAAAGGCATGCTTATCTGTATAAGCAGAAGGAAATGTCTCTGAGGCCCAACCTCACTCTAACACATGCGCCACCCATTAACGTTGTAGCACCAATCAAGCCATGACTCTCTGGCCAGGGGAGAAATATGGAGAGACTGGAACTGCACTTTACAGCTCAATTAGTGGAGCATGTCACTTCTGCCAATTAAAAAAAACCTCTGGTCATTCTGGGCTGGGCACTTTTCCTTGCAGGCTTCTTGTCTCTCTGTGTCATTCTATAAGACTGTTTCCATGAAGGTTCAGCCTGAAGAGCACATACAAATGTGTTTGTAGTTATTACACTGAATCTGGCACTTCAAGCTGAAGGCAATATCAGATCACTTTAAACAGAAATGAATTCCCCCAAAGAATCCTGGGAAGTGTAGTTTGTTAAGGGTGCAAGGAGTTAAGTGACCCCCACTGTCCTCACAGAGCTACAACCTCCAGAGTGGTTTAACCCCTCTTCCCAGGAAAAACTAGGGACTGCAGTTCTATGAGGGGAATAGGGGTCACCTAACAATACTTGACATTCTTAATGGTGAAGAAGACTGGCCAGGTGGCAAGTTTTCCTGCTCAGTTCGCTGCCCAGGTGCTGCCGATGGGCAACTTCAAGGCCCCTCCGTAGGTTTCTTTCTCTTTAAACCAGAATTGGACAAGGCAGCCCTTCAAACAAAGGACTCCTTCAAACAGATGGCTGTAAAAGCAGGACACATGGTCACTTTACCCCCAGGCAGATGCCCCAGAAAGATATCCATGATATCAAAAGCTGTTGAGAGATCCAGCAGAACCAAGAGATAGGCTTAATGCATGGCAAAAGTCATCCGCCGAGACAATAACTGTTCCAGAAGTGGGCCTGAACCCAGATTCCAAATAGTCACAGCTATGCACATTCCATACATTTAATGCACCGCCCCCCCCCCGAATCCTGAGAAGTGCAACACCCTTAAACTACAGTTCTCAGGATTTTGGGGGGAGTTGGGATGTGCGTTGAATGCGCTTGAGATCTATAGTGTGTATGCAGCCTGAGTTTCATTTAAGAACACTTGAAGTTGAGTCACCAGAACTATACACACACCAAATATTGTCAGATCTTTGTTGAAATCAAACTCAGAAGTCAAACGTCAGCTGCTGAATAATGTATCATACTATGTCAAATGCCACATTTCAACATCAACATCCACTGGGGAAAATTTCTCAAAACGTATTTGTTTCAAGCTCCAGTAAAGAGATTTGTTTGACCTCCCACCCCTGCCTTAGGACACTGATGAAAACAGCTTACCCAGAATTGCAAACACATCAGAGGCAGGCTTTGATCTTTCTTTCTCTACTTTTGGGTGCAGTGAGGAATTGTAGAGGAACCAGGAGACAGTGGAGCCAAAAAATGCCCCAAACAAATGAACATGCATCAAGCTGATGTGGCTCTTAATCTGTAGACCACAAAAAAAAAACCAGTCACCATTTCATAGAGAGCCAGGGTGGAATGTATTCTGTGGGAAACTGGATGCTGGAACGGACAGGACTTTAATCTGATTCAGCACAGCTCTTCCGTTAATATATATTATGTGGGAACTGCAATAAAAACGTTGCAGCGTGCTCCATGTGCCTGCCAGCCAGCCATCTTTGCCCTCTCCCATATCCTATTCCTCTCTCTGGTTTTCTGTTTTCCACCCCAACATACCCACTGAGGCTGCTCCACCCTCACTTTGCAGGGTATTCCCCCTCTAAAGTTATTTTGACTTCTGCAAATTCTGGGTCCCCCCACCCCGGCAAATCTGCCTGGGCTCTGCTATTTTGCCTACCCACTCAGGGAACTGAGCTTGAAATTAATATACAGGATTAGACAAAGATGTGGAAGAGGGTTATCTATCAGTGGCACAATAGCTAAAGAGAATCTCCATAGTTCAGAGCAGGGGTCAGGAACCTCTGGCTCACGGGCCAATCTTGGCCCACCAGGGGAACCAATTTGGCCCATGAGGCCACTTCCCCAAAGCCACACCCCTGTCAATCAGCTAACATCACTCATAACTTCAGGTGATGGGTGAAAATGCAGGGTTCAATTCTGCTGGGAACTGGCACACACATCCAAGGCAAGCAACCCTGGATTGTTGGTTTTTTGGCAGGCTTCAGCTGTGAGAGGGCCTGCTCATGATGGGGAGAGGAGAAAGAAGCCCTTGCCAACCCCAAACTTGGTGCTTGGGGAACGCTGCGCAAGGGATTTCGACAGGTGAGCAGGACGACCCACCTATCAATCATGGGGTACCATAATGACACCATGTGATTGACAGGTGGGTTGCCCCTCCCCACTTGTCAAAGTTGGTCTATGGGGCAGAGCCAGATAAAGTTCCAGGGAAACAAGCCACTCGTTGCTGAGGGCTTCCCATTGGAGCTCCTTGCTGGCTGCTGGTGGGGTACAGGATGCTGGACTAGTTGGGCCTCTGGTCTGATCCAGCGCCAAGGGTTGGTAATCAAAGCTACTAGAGGCCAGCAACCTTAAGTCTTAAGACACAGAGCCACTCTTGAGAAAGGCTGCCTTGGCAGCTAATGCCAATTAGGGAAGATGGCAAAACAAGGCAGCTGTGCTTGACCTTCAGATACCACAAAGGGACAGTTCCTGAGGAGGAAAGGCCCCTGGAAATGGGAAGCTGCCACAGAATCACCCACCCCACGCCTTGTCTCAGTAGCAAAGAGGTTTCTATACATACCCCCAGAACATCCACAATGATCCATCTGGTCCCAGCGAAAACAGCCACCTCCACCATAGCCATGCAGATTAACTGCATCAGGTTGGCTTTGCCGAGGATCGCGCCAGCTGAAATCAGCACCGCTGTAATACTCATAATGGCTGCCAAGATGCTTTGGGGAAAGAAAAAGGGGAAAGCAGCATTGTTTGTAGCATCGTTTTAGAGTGCTGAAGAAGCCCCCTCCTCCAGATTGGGAGACTGGGTGGTATCCACAAACAGGATGTGCAGACAGTGTGGATATAGCCAACTAACTTGTTCCATCAGCACAAGCATTTCCGATTGTGCATCAAAATTTCCCCCTCTCCTCTCCCCACGCTCCCTGAACCTCCACAAATCTCTAGAGGATTTCATGAACTCCCATAACAGATTTAGGGGGCATGTAGGGGGAGGAAGGGGGGCGGAGTTCTCCTGCATGGAAGTTGTCATTGTTCTCTCTTCAAGCCCCTCCTGCTTCTAGGAAACAGTGGGGCAGGGGAAAGCAGGGATTTGACTGGCACACCCCACATCTGAGCAGCCTCTTCCTCCACTTCTGACAGCTCCTGTGCCCCCGCCTCTGCCTACTCCGACCCTTCCTCTTCCCCACTGCCCTGGTTCCTGCCTCACAGGTGGCACCAAACCTCTGTCCCTATCTCCTGGGTCAGTCTCCAGTCCCCTTGCCTCTGCCACACACTCGTCAGAGCCCTGACATGGCGCCTGGGATGACACACAAGAACGTCATCTAAAAGCAAAGCCAAGACTGCATTTTCTCCAGAAGTAGGGCTTTAATTATATGGACATTTATGGCAACTTAATAAATTAGTTGATTAATCCACCAAATTTCATACGATTAATCAATATTTTTTATTATTCAGGTGACACCTGGTCAGGCAATCTAATTGTTTAACCCATCTGCAATAAAATAAAACAAAACTTACATAAATCTCTCTCTCTCTCTCTCCTGTGTGTGTGTGTGTGTGTGTGTGTGTGTAGTATCCATAGCTGGGGAAATCTTTTACAAGTGATAGTTTGCTCCTCCTGTTTCCTAATTAGCTAGAAACCTCTGGATTCTGCCTCCCAGGCCAGGGCCTCTACTGTCTATTATTGCAAGGGTGAGGAAACTTTGGCCCTTCAGATGTTGGTGAACTACAATTCCCATCAGACCCGGCAAGCATGGTGAGGGATGAGGGGAGCTGTACTTGAGCAACATCTGGAGGGCCAAAGATTCCCCACCCCATAGCTTTTGGGTTTAGCTAGCCCGCCACTGGGTCTGTGTATTGATTTAGGCTGCAGCTGATCCACAGTAAATTCTGAGGCGTTTCACAAGCCTGAAAAAATTCTGGGTATCCAGAAACTGCCGAGGGTGTCAACTAGGGGTGGCGCCAAATCTTTTCCTAAATGCCTTGGGTGCATCAGAGTCAGCAATGGATTCAGGGGAAATTGAATTGAAGGATGATCTGCATTACTGGCTGGATATTAATTTGAGGGAATAAATTAATTTTAGATGACTTTATCTGGATATGATTTGGGGATAAAGAATCGGGTACTCGAAGGAAAATTTAATTGATTTGGAGCAAGCTCTGTTGGGTAATGAACTGAAGAGGAAATCATTTGGGTTGATCTGCTGGGTTGACTAACTGACAAATGTATCTGAGGTGATTTGGATGGAAAACTCATTATCTCGCCTTCTGCGACTTTTACATTTTAAATTTTGCATCTTTACATGTAAATTGGCATGTGCAAATTTTTCACAAATGTGTATCTATGAGACTATACTGCAAATCTTGCAAATACCAAACAATGCCCCTGAAGAACTGGTTTTTATGCGTTGCTTGTGTTGGCCTGAATGTTGAAGAATCATTTCATTTAAAGAAAAAAACACACCAATAGAGATTTATGCTACAGGTGCGATGAAAAGAGCTGCAGATGCCCTGACAATAAGGTATAATACGTTCACTAATCCACTCATCCACTCACTCAAACACTTATTTTCTAGCTTAGACTTTGCCAAACTGGCACCTTCCAGATGTTTTGGGATTCAAGTCACATCAACCCCAGTCCCAAACATCTGGAGGGTACCAGGCTCATAAAGGCTGCTCTAGCTAATAAATGCAGGTGTGTGTGGGTCAGTGTTTGGAGCACACCAGGAATGAAGGCAAAGCACATTATTAAGAAAGGGAACAGGCTCCTTCATTTTGAGTTCAGCCCCTTGATCATTTTGGTTGCCCTCATAATAAACAGCTATGAGGATGGGAAGCCTAGTATTATTGGGCTAAAAGTGGGCAGAGTTTGTTTGCTCTGTGAATGAGAACGGGGAGGGAGGGAGGAGCGAGAGAGGGAATGAGAGAGAAGAGCAATATTTCTTGGTCTCCAGCTGCCCATGTTTCAAAGAAACCTGCTAAACTAAATCCATAAAGCCTCAGACATAGCAACCACTGGTCAAGGCAGGGCCCTGTAAAGCGTGTTATCTACCTTTGCAGATTTATCTTCACTTGCCCATCTGAGAAATGGAAAATGAAGCCATTCACGATCAAAGCCCACTGCACTCCAAGGGCTGCAAGAAAAAGGCTGAATCCAGCGCTGCTGAAGCCGTATCTTCTGAGGAAGGCCAGGAGGAAGGCGAAGCCCAAGACCACCATGATGTTGACATCTTGAAATGCTGCGTGCAAGAGAGGCCATTATTCATTTGTTTTTTACATTTGTTACTTTTTACATGCGGACATAAACACACTCCAGATGTAACTCATCAAATACTAACACTACTTAAAATAATGCAATCAGCTTACTCTCATTTGGGGGAAATTGAGCCTCACCCTTGGAGACTCTCCCCAGCCACTTAAGTATTTGCTCAATTAACCTACTAATTAAACAGAATAACACCTGCAACCCTAATTTCAATTAACAAGCAGGCTTACCTGGGTAGAGCGCAAGGTCTTCTTGAACACTTTGATGGTCATATGAAAAGAAAAAGAAAAATATAAGGATGAAAGCAGCTTCCAAAAAGAAAATGAGCCCAGGCAGGCGAATCCGGAGACTTGGAGGATACTGAGAAGGCATCCTGTGTCCATGAACTACAGCATTTCAAAAGGGAAGCGGGTGTTAATTCCTTGAGTTAAAAAAGAGAAAGTAGCTGAGAAAGTCTGAATGTGATAGCCAGAAGGCATTAAGTCCTTATCTAATGCCGCCCACGAGAGCAGGCCAGTCTTCTGTTGCTGGGTATTTTGACTCCTGTGGAGTTGCCTTGTGATCTGAGGTTGTGGGATAAGGCTGTGCTAGAATGAGGGCTCTTTTGAGTGGTCAGAATTATTCCAGAGGAATTAACGACTAACTTAGGTTCATTAATTTCAGTGAGTCTGAGCAGGGCTAGCACTGGATACATCCCGAATAACTATTTGATATGGGAAAAACTTTCATGGCCCAGATGCATGGAGTGTGATGTTCAGTTTTCCAGTACAGTGGTACCTTGGTTTATGAACTTAATCCATTCTGGAAGTCCGTTCTTAAACCAAAGCAGTCTTAAACCAAGGCATGCTTTCCCATAGCAGCGGGGGGACTCGATTTACAAATGGAACACACTCAACAGGAAGTGGAACATGTTGTGTTTCCAAGGCAAAGTTCACAAACCAAAACACCTACTTCTCGGTTTGCAGCGTTCTTAATCCAAGTTGTTCATAAACTAAGCTGTTCTTAAACCAAGGTACCACTGTAAAGAGAAAAGGTGTGTGTGTAAAGCTGGTGTTAAATTATAATGGAATAATAATACTGTAACAACAACAACAATAATTTATTACTCTGCCCATCTGACTGGGTTGCCCTTTGGGCAGCTTCCAACAGAATATAAAAAACATAACAAAACATCAGACATTAAAAACTTCCCAACGCAGGGCTGCCTTCAGAAAGTCGTATAATTGTTTATGTCTTTGACATCTGATGGGAGTCCAAAAGCACAAGCTTGCATCAAAATTGCATTGTCAGTCATTTGTGACCCGTTCTGAGATCTTTTGATGAAGGGCAATATATAATTTTTTTTTAAAAAAAGGTTAGTGCAAGGATTTCTGCTTGTGTAGCAGAACTCCCCCCACACACACCTCATGAGCCCCTAAAACCTGCTCTGTGTGTTTCCCCAACCCTTTGAAGCAGATTTGGGGAAGCTGCTGAGCGCATGCAGGCAGAAAAGAATTCCATTGCACAAATACTTGTGCTAATGGAATGGGGGCATTAGATACTACCCACAATATGTGGTAATTGAACTGGACCTTTCATGTGCACAAAATGAGCTTTCATAGCAGCTGCAACTGTTGACAGCACAATCATCTTAGCATTGCTGAGTGAAGTGACAATTCAATTAAGATTGTAGGCACATGCAAGATGAGCACCCTGACCATTGATAACAGCAGTGATTGATGTCAGTAGAATCATCTTAGCATTCCTAAACAAATTAATACCTGTAGTGAGACTAGAAACCATTGTCTCTATTGAGAACGGAGTGAATATAATAGAAAGGTGAAGTAACAGGGGCACAATCCAGTGAGATGTTCTCTGGAGCAATCATGGGAAAATTGAAATGGGCAGCTTCCCATCTGCTACTGCCATAAGCCTGGGCCAAGAAACCAGCTGGATGGGTGGGGACTGGCACTATCAGTGGGCTCTGCTTTCTGAGGATGCTGCGTGCTGCCACAGGCCTTGGTATGGACCACTTTCATGCACTAATTTATTTATTTCAATTAGGGATCGGGGGAGAAATTTTGATTCAGTTCACAGTCACCCTTCGAAATTTGCACTTCTCATAATTTTGCAATGCTGCTATCCAGCCAAGTAAAGTGCACCAAAAAGGTACTAGGGTAAAATGTGTATTAAAATGCATGTTAGTGAAAATAACATACACAATTGCAGCATATGATGGAGAATTGCTTTCAGAAATGTGTACGTAAGGCAAAATTAGGGATGCGGGTGGCACTGTGGGTAAAACCTCAGTGCCTAGGACTTGCCGATTGTATGGTCGGCGGTTCAAATCCCCGCGGCGGGGTGAGCTCCCGTCGTTCAGTCCCAGCTCCTGCCCACCTAGCAGTTCGAAAGCACTCTTAAGTGCAAGTAGATAAATAGGTACCGCTTTATAGCGGGAAGGTAAACGGCGTTTCCGTGTGCTCCGCTGGTGCTGGCTTGCCAGCTGCAGCTTCATCACACTGGCCACGTGACCCGGAAGTGTCTTCGGACGGCGCCGGCTCACGGCCTCTAGAGCGAGATGAGCACGCAACCCTAGAGTCGGACACGACTGGCCCGTACGGGCAGGGGTACCTTTACCTTTAAGACAAAATTGCATACAAAAATATGCATATTAGAAATTCACGCTAAGATGCTGAGTTTTCACAAGGATTTTACAAAAAATTGCAAATTGATGTGGAAATAATAATAATAATTTATTTATACCCCGCCCACCTGGCTGGGTTTCCCCAGCCACTCTGGGCGGCTTCCAACAGAATATTAAAAACACAATAAAACATCTAACATTAAAAGCTTCCCTAAACAGTGGCTGCCTTCAGATGTCTTCTAAAAGTCAGATAGTTGTTTATTTCCTTGACATCTGATGGGAGGGCATTCCACAAGGCGGGAGACACTACCAAGAAGGCCCTCTGCCCGGGTTCCCTGTAACCTCACTTTCACAGTGAGGAAACTGCCAGAAGGACCTCAGTGTCTGGGCTGAACGATGGGGATGGAGAGGCTCCTTCAGGTATACCGGGCAGAGGCCGTGGAGAACTGAACTTGAGTTTGGAAAAATGAGAAACAGAAAAACCAAAATTCTCCCATCCCCAATGGAGGAAAAGTATTGTTGCACACCATCCCAATCTCCCGAGTGGTGCAAGATTCCAGGGGTTCCCGGCGCCTGTCCAGGGTTCGTGCTCTCTTTTGAATGAGGGACAGCAGAGACTGTGGTGTCTTTGTGATGTGTTGTTTATCTACACATATATACCACCTGAGCCTACAATGGAGGGGTTCACAGCTGATCTTGCTTCTCCTATAGCCACGGCCTTGGATTCCAGCAGAAATCTGGCATAGCCCTGTCTCCTGCACAGCCTGCTGGCTTCTACATTACCTACCACAACTCTGCCGTTGCATTTCTAACAACCAGAGTTTTGAGGTACACTCGTTATCTGACACAGAGCCACTTCCTTTGTTACCTTAATGGCTCATACTTAAGATGGTCATTACCTCACCAGGGAGTTAGCCTGGCTATTCCAGGAATTGCATTCACGCTGGATCTAAGACTTGGAAGGGGGCTCAAGCATACAGCCTACCCTCTGCAAACTCATAACAGTATCCTTGTTTGAAGCAGAAACATTTCCATTTGTCAAAACAAAAAAAAATCCTTCCAGTAGCACCTTAAAGACCAACTAAGTTAGTTCTTGGTATGAGCTTTCGTGTGCATGCACACTTCTTCAGATAATGAAGAAGTGTGCATGCACACAAAAGCTCATACCAAGAACTAACTTTGTTGGTCTTTAAGGTGCTACTGGAAGGAATTTTTTTTGTTTTGACTATGGCAGACCAACACGGCTACCTATCTGTAACTGGAACATTTCCATTTGTGTTATTGACTGTAAGCCACCTACAGAGCCTGTGAGAAAAGCCTCCTGGCCACTAAATAAATATTTTCATGATAATTAGCTTGTTTCTATTTTGTCCATACACGGGTTACTTATTGATTACTTTTCTGTATCTCACTCTTCTTCAGTCATGGAACCCAATGAAGCCTCTTATCTAGGCCTGGCTAGATTCAGACCTGCTGAATTCCCTTAAAGCTGTTGTATCATTGGAAGGCCTTTTCTGTACTGACGCTGCCATAATCAGCAAGTGGCAGCCCCTTCCACAGGGAAATCAAACTGTATTCTTCTCCCCAAGTGTTTATAACATTCTTACAGGATGCAATCCTAGCACCATTCACCTGGGAATAAGCCCCACTGAATTCAATGGGACTTACTTTTTTTGTAAATGTGTTCAGGGTTGCAGTCTTAGTCTGGAGCTCCGTGGGCTATGAACTTCTTGGTTTTACTGTTGACTTATTACTGCTCTAACGATTGTTGTTGGCCACTTAGGGCAGCTCCATTTGCAGGAGGAAAGAGGAACATAAAAACTCATTAAAAAGATTAAACAAGGTGCCTTCCCATGATGCAGTTCTTCTCTTCTTTCGAAGACGCTGCCACGTCCTAGGCATGTCTACTCAGAGGCGAGCACTGCTGTATTTAATGGGACTGACTTACCTCCAGAAAAGCATGAATAGGCATGCAGCCTTGCCCCTGAGTAGACATGCACAGGATAGGATCGGGCTGTCAAGCTGCGATGCTTTATAATCGCTTTCACACGCGAGGCAAACTGCATGGGACTTACTTCAAAGCAAAAAACGCTCAGGGCCTGGGGCATAACAGCATTTTCTCAACTGGCAAAATATTTACCCACATAACAAAACCTGGCTGGTAACTAGGAATACACCCAGCTCCTCCCTTGGCAGAGAGCAGCAGCTACTGCTGCTACCTTAACAAATGCCTGTCAGGGAAGAAAGGTCTTCTTTGATTGGCCAAGACTCAGTTTCCCGTGTCACTTTACTTAGCCGTTACACCCAGTCTCACCTCTCGCATTCTCTATTGGTCCTCCTTAACACCATTTATTCAAGTCAGAAATTTATTGGATACATAGCCTGTCAGTCAAGCTGGAGGGCGGGACTGTGAGCGAGCTGTGTTAGAATGCAGCGGGATCACCATTCTTTGCCTCTTTTTACCTTTGGTCCTTGGATTACGCGAGCCTTTTAGTCGGGGTTTTATTGGCCAGTAGCCCCGCCAATCAAACCATAGGGGCCCGTACCTAAATGTCAAAGCTAAAGGCGGGATACAAAAAAGCTCCTTTCTTTCATTGGGGGATAGCTAGGCTGCTCCTCCTACTTTGGTACCAACTATTCAACGATTGGGTAGCCTCGCCATCAATTTAACAAATCCTTACTTTCACGGGCTGCTCTGGACGCCGTTCTCCCTGCTGGGCGGGACTCGTCATTCTAGAAAAGGGCGGGACCAGAAGCGTCGATCTCCTCATTGGTTCTGCCGCCCGCCTCTCTACCCTCTAGCCCCATGTTGATTGATTCGCTCGTCCGTCGACCTCATGTTATGCCTCCCGCCGATTGGCTTGTGCCTGAAAGGAGGCGGGGCAGGGCGCGGAGGCTGCGCGCGGGGACGCGGCGGCGGGGAGGGACAGATCTGAAATTATTTTTTATTTCTTTGTTTCCTAGTCGGGCGGGGGGAGAAAAAAAAAAGGAGGGAGAAAGAAAACGGGGACGGGGGGGAAAGGCGAGCCAAAAAAAACCCAACAAAAACCCCAGACCCGGAGACCCGCTGAGACTCCCTCCGGCGGGTCCCTCGGACAGGCTTGGATGTTGTCGCTGTGACCCGGGCGGGGCAGGAGCGGAGAAGGAGGCGGCGGCGGCGGCGACGGGGGGCAGCAGCAGCAGCAGCAGGCGCCACCACCACCGCCGGGCCAGGCCGGGTTGGGTCTCGCCGGGCCGGACGGGAGGATGAAGCGCCGGAGCGCCGACTGCAGCAAACTCCGGCGGCCGCTGAAGCGGAACCGCATCACTGAGGGCATCTACGGCAGGTATGGCCCGCACCTGCCTCGCCCCGCCCCGGCCTGTCAGTGGCATCGAGGGAGCCTCGCCGGTCCCTCCTTCCCTCCTTTTGGCTTTGAGGTGAAGCAGGGGAGGGGGCTCCTTCGCCGCCTCAGCCCCCGACGGGGCTTCCTCCTCCTCCTCTTCCTCCTCACACGGAGGGGGACAGGCGAGCTTGGCGGGACTCCCCTCATCCCCACAGAAACGCACACGCGCACCACTTTCACACGCCCCCCCTTCATTATCTCCTCCACACACCCCAATTGCTTCTCCCCTCATGCAGCCACTTCCCGCCCTTTGTCCGCCCTCAGGGCCCCGCTTCTTTGGCGCTCTGGGCCATTGTCTTCAGAAGAAGCAAAAGTAGCCCCCTCCCACGACGCCCGACACTTCTCTCTCCTCCCTTCAAAACGCTTTGGGGTAGCCCTGAGTGGGCCTTGTCTTCTCTCTCTCTCGCTTAATAGTTACCTCGGATCCCTCCTCAGCCTTGCTCTGAAGCAACGTCTCTCTCCCACGTTTCTGCCCCCCCACAGAGTCCGCTCAGACTTGGGTTGGCACTGATCCTGCAGACATGCATTGGGGGCGCCTTCTTTCATTTTACTGCCTCTGTATGATGGCCCTTGCTGCTCTTAAGTCAGGCTGCAGCACAATAGTGGGATGTGACCCATAAGTAGAAGACTGATGCTTAGGAGCCTTCTCTCCCCCCCCCCCATGCCTCACATTGGGAACCCTTCCTCTAGAAACCTCCCTTTCCCTCTATACCAGATGTGGTGAGCCCTACAACTTGCATCATCCCTGACCATTGGCCAAGCTTGCTGGGCCAAAAGTTCCCCACACTTTGTCTATACTCACATCTACACTGACAACTCTTGCTTTGAGGCTTTCACTGGGGCAATCTCTGTTGACAGATTTCCCATCCCATTACTCTCTTGTGAAGCCACAACCTAGCCCCCACCCCAGTGAGTGTGCAAACACACACACAGGCTACTTGTTCTTACACTTTATTTTCCCATGTATCCGTTGGAACGTCTCCAAATCATTGCTGATAATTATTGTATTTTTAATGCTGCAAACAAAGACGGGGCAAACTATTTAGTAACACACACACAAATGCTTTGTGGCCTCAGAAGCTTCACTTCTGGCTCAATTTCCACCTCCCCCAAGATAGTTGTCTTTAGAACTTGGTTCCCCTTCTCCCAATTGTGGGAAGCTTTCCTCTGTGATCTCTCTAACAACACACATACCCTTTCTCTTTTTAAGAGGCTTAAGTGAATGATGCTCTGCATTCTATTGAAATATCCCCCCACCCCTCTTCCCTGAAACCACCCCTCCTCTTTAGTTGCCATTTCTTCCGCGCCCCACAACTCTTGCAATTTAAGTGTTTCTAGATACAGTACCAGACAGATCGTCCCCCCTCTAATCCCTTTCTCTTAACCCGTTCCATACAACCTTCCCTACAATGCTAGTGCTCTTCCAGTCATTTTGCTCCCACACCTTCATTTGATGTTCTCACCCCAGTTGTGGTTTCAGTTACATTGACTACCCTACACTTAGTGGCCTCCATTCACTGTTTTTCTCCACATAGATGAATACCTTTCCCTAGAATGCAATCACACCCATCAGTTGGGCACCCACAACCCTGACTATTCTTGCCCTTAAGAGTTTCCTCATTTATATTTTACTTTGAAGTCACACTTTCCATAGAGTGGTAGTCCTGTTTGCTCTCAGTTTTGTCACTCATGCTACTCTAGATTGGTGCTGTATTCTGAAGCCCCACCCCACTTCAGTTGTGTGGCCTTCCACCTACCCTTCAACTACCACTGCCCCTAACTCAAAGATCCTTTAGGCTTCCACTATTATTTTCCCTCCTTTGTATTTATATTGATATATTTGTCAGAGTGCAGTTCATTTGCCATCCTCTTCAGTGATTGTCATACTTCTATTCCTGCTTGTCCCATCCAATCAAACTTCCTACCACAGTGCTCAACCCTGCCCTGCATTGACAGCCCTCCTCTTAAGAGTCTACCCCACACAGATTGATATACCTTTCCCTAGGATCCCCTCACACATACTGACAATTCTTGCTGTTAAGAGTCATCCACCCACTGTGTCCTTGTCCTCACTGACAGAGATCCCACTTACCCCATACTCATTTGAGCCACTTTTACAGTGACAGGCCTGACTCTCAAACCCTGCCCTCGCAAATTCTGCTGAAGACCCCCATTCCACTGGCTATGCACTTGCACATTGATAGTCCCACCCTTAAGAGTTCTCCACCTTCTGTGCCATGACAGACCCATAACTTCCCCATTCATTATGCTTCCCCCACCCAGACCAAGCCAGTGTGTCCAGCGGTCAGGGATGACATGAGTTGTAGTCCAACAATATCTGGAGGGCCACAGATTCCCCATGTGCTCCAAAGGACACCCCCCCCACGCACATATCTTCCTCTAACACACCTTTCACAACAATGAGGAAGGCCCTCCAGAAACTGGCAGTCCTCTTTTACCCCACACCAGATAGGCTCTCAGATTCTCCCTTGCATTTGTTTTTATTGCCACAATTTCTTCCCATGTCCCTAACTACCTTCCCACTGTGCCCTCTTATTGAATATATGCTGAATACTCCCACAAGTATGTGATCAAAACATGTTTTTTTACACTGAAGCCCCTTCCTGCCCCTTAGGACTTCCAAACAGTCTTTCAAATGACTGACTTCTTCTCCTTGTGATGTCTCTTCTTAGGCCACTATCCCTTTTTCATTTAACCTTTTCTGTGCTCATCTTAATGTTTCTCTCAGTCCCATCACGCTATGCTATATTATATCGCTTCATGAATGAAAAGTTTGCCTGATATGTTCTTGCCTGCTTTGCGAATACTCATATCTATTCAGGAGATGCTCTGATTCACACCTCCTTCCCAAGTTGTGTTATTTCACTTTCTTTTTGTGTCGTCTTCCGTTTTTGTATGGTGACTTATTTTTAAAGCTGTGTCAGAGTGAAAGGCAATGATGAAGATATTGTTCATATTCTCTGGTGAGTGGGTCTCAGGATTTTCCATGGCTATTTCCCATCTGCTATTAAATAGGTCTTGGGGAGCTTCTTTTTTAAGTTAGAGAAATGACTGTTGGCTAGAGCCATCTCTATTTACCTTGCTCTATTTACTTCTTAGGGATGCGGGTGGCGCTGTGGGTAAAACCTCAGCGCCTAGGACTTGCCGATCATCAGGTCGGCGGTTCGAATCCCCGCGGCGGGGTGCGCTCCTGCGGCTCGGTCCCAGCGCCTGCCAACCTAGCAGTTCGAAAGCACCCCCGGATGCAAGTAGATAAATAGGGACCGCTTACTAGCGGGAAGGTAAACAGCGTTTCCGTGTGCTGCGCTGGCTCGCCAGATGCAGCTTGTCACGCTGGCCACGTGACCCGGAAGTGTCTTCAGACAGCACTGGCCCCCGGCCTCTTAAGTGAGATGGGCGCACAACCCTAGAGTCGGACACGACTGGCCCATACGGGCAGGGGTACCTTTACCTTTACCTTATTTACTTCTTACAGCCAGGACTCACAGTTTCTGGTTCATCAGGTGTTAAAATTATGCACAACTTGCAGAAGTGCTGTTATGCTGTCAGTTTGTACAATTACAAGGGGCCTAATAGATGTGAGATTTTGGCAGACAAAACTGCAGTTGTCATTGACAAAGCCTAAGAAACTATGTTTTTATTGAGACTTGGAAAAGAGGCCAAGCAAAACTTCAGCTTAATACCCAATGTTATGCAGTGTATGACATCTGCCTTCACAGTAGCCACTGACTTAACCACATGAGCATAGCTGTTCCCCCAAATCAATGAAAATAAGTTAAAATACATAACAAACTAAGGTTCTGCCCCCCTAACAAAAGGCCTACCCCCCCATACAAAAATCCTGGATACGTCCATAAATGGCCATCTTAAAGAATACCGTAAATTGGGACAAGACTAAACCATGAGAAATTGGTTTTCCTCAAAGACTTTGTCCAATTGAAGTCACAATTTTGTTATAAAAAGATAGCGTAAGTGATTGCTTAAGAACATTAATTACTTTAATACATGTGTATACAGCTTTACACACAAACACCAGAACAGTGCTTCTCTGTTACTTTGCTTACTGTACAGCAAGCAGCAGGATTTTATCAGAGGTGGGGTTTGGGCCTCCCAACAATTTAATGTTAATTTACCTGTGTGTAGAAATAGCCACTGAAGTGTAAATTCTCTTTGTTAGCTATGAGTATTACAAGCTGTCCCATTTGAGCTCAAGCTTATGTAGATCAGCTTTCCTCAACTTTATGCCCTCCAGAAGTCTTGGGCTACAAAACATTGTTTTGCTATCTTCAACTGATGGAAGTTGGAGTCTCAGAACATCTGGAGGGGATGGCAGTGGAAGATGGTTACATGTTTTAAAAATAATGGAAGGAAAAGACCAAGGAGACTTTGTCCTTTGCACACGCTAGGGAATAACACAGCAAAAGCCAGTGCTGATCACATATGTACTACAGAGGGTTGTGTAAGCCGTAGGAGCATGGCCCCTGCTCTCCGTGTGTGGTGGTGTGGCTTCAGCTTTGTGGATCCTGCTTTGCAAGGTCACAGCAGTTTA